TATAATTTTGTGAGTTAGTAATAACAATTAGAGGTTTCCCACCTTACTTGCCTCTAAAGACAGACTATATACAATAATATGACGGTTCGTAAGTGCACGTTTTTGCGACAAAGTGGCGCCGAGTAGTTGGTAGATAACGTCTGGAATGCAAAGGGTTAAATAACGTGCAGTTTGCCCAAAACGTGCGGTCCCTTGCGTATATCTTAAAAATTTCTGTGCGGTACGCAATGTGTTAAGAAACCTCGGAAAATATTGCGAAACCATCGATCCAGTTCTCCATTGAATTCTGCGAATCGGAATGAGACTGTCCGTCGCAGGGATCTACATAATCCGGATTGCTTGCAACAATCGAGAAACGAAATCGGCCGGCTCGCCGTATCCGGATTTCCATCGTCGACGGTAGGTATCGCTTCTTTACAAGTCAAATAATACAAGACGTGAGCATCGAACGACGTACCTTTTCGAGCTTGGTAAGCCTTTTCAGGATAATCTCGTAGTCCTGATCGAGGTCACCGTCGGCCACCTCGTTCTCCGTATCTGCGGACAAGAACACTTTGATATCGCCGTCCAACCGCGGGAACATGGGATAACGCGAGCGTTTCCGTGAACAGTGACGGGAAAAACAAGCATGGGAATTCGTAATCGCGTACCGTGCGGCGAGCTCGACGGTCGTTTAGTCGTCGTCACTTCGTGGAAGTCGTTCTCCAGGTCCCGTGCTTCGAACGCGGTATCTTCTGTGTCTGAAAAGTTAAAAGTGAAATCAGATTTTAATCTTCCTTGAGAATCTCATTATTTTATTTAATTAAAAACTGAATGTATGTTGGAATATTTAAATGATAAAAGGAATTTTTATTAATTAAAATAGAGAAATTCTAATACATTCTGTAATATTTTTTAATTTATCTAAATGTTATATAACTAGAGTAAATTTTCTAATTTCTGTCTACTGTTTTAAGAAAAGTCAGTGAGTAGAAATTGGGTCATTTACTATGAAACATATTAAAGATATATTGGTTATACA